GGACTCCCCCCCACCCCAGGACCGGGCTCAGGGCTAGAGGAAGCCTCGCTCCCCACATTCACATCCCCTTCTCTCCAGCCAACACAGGAAGGAGCGAGGGGAGAGGGACAGGCTCCCAGATTCTAGCAGCATGAATGGAGAACTTTCATCCCAGTCTCAAACATCCACAAACATTTGATTTTCTATGACCAGAAATAGAAAACCAAACATACATCTCTCCCAGAGAGCGCCCCCCACCCCCGTCAGCCAGAACTGCCTGTCCCCAAAGTCACTTCAAAAGGCTCACCCTATATTCCACCCCCTCTCCGGAAGTGCGGGGGGGGGGCAGCAGCACAGGACAGGGATCGCCCCAGAGGACCCTCAAGGAGCTCCCACAGTAGCACAGAGATGGGGGACCTGTCTAAGGAGAGGCCCCGTGTGAAGCAGGTTTCCAAACCCAGGGCTGCTTGAGCTGCACCGGTGACCATGAGCTTCAGTTCCAACACACCCAATAGGGCTCTCTTGCTTCTCACTGGCTTTTCAGTCTATCCACGTTGTAATCTGAAAATCATCTTGTATTTATGTACCATGTTCTTAGCAGGCCATAATACACTAGCCAAGCAGGAGAAACGACCTGTTAGGCCTCTTTGGATGAATTGGTATACAAAATGTGGTATTTATATGAAGTATTCTGCCTTAAAAAGGTAATTCTAGCCAGGCACCAGTGACTCACCTGTAATCCTAACTACTCAGGAGGCTGAGATCTGAAGATTGAGGTTCAAAGCCAGCCCTGCCAGGAAAGTCTTTGAGACTCTTATCTCCAATTAACCACTAGAAAAAAAAAAAACTGGAAGTGGCACTGTGGCTCAAGTGGTAGAGTGCTCACTTTGAGCTGAAGAGCTGAGGGACAGTGTCCAGGCCCAGAGTTCAACCCCAGGACCAACCCACCCCCTCCCCCCACCCCCTACACACAGAGGTACTTCAAACACATTACAATATGGATGAACCTGTAGACATGATGCTAACTGAAGTAAACCAGTCACAACAAAAAGAGATATGTATGAGATATCTTGAGTAAGATCATTTTTTTAAAGACATAAACTAGAAGGGTGGTTCCCAGTGAGTGGAGGAAATAGGGATTAAGAGCTGTTGCTTAGTTTTAGTTTTGTGAAATAAAAAAAAAATTTAATTTGTTGGATATGTTAAAAAATTTTTTTAAAGATTTGTTGTATAGTTTGTTATATAGCCCCCTCCTTTGAAAGTTCAAGTGTTGGAAACAATTCTCTAACATCATATGCTGATATGTAGAAGTGGAGCCGCTGAGATACTGGGTGAGATCCTGAGGGTATTGTGCTCAGCACCACACTAGTCTTCTAAGCAAGAGACCCAAATGGGATTGAGTGGGATTGCTTGCTGTGTCTCGCCACGTGATACCCACTTGAGTCCAAACATCAGGATGAGAGTTGTCTGCACTGACTGCTACCCAGTTCTGAGACAGACTGGTTTACCCCATGCAGGCATCCTGTTCTGGAGAGGACTAAGACACTAGGAAGCTTCTAGAACAAGGCTAGTGCTGAGCTTTGCAATGGCAAGGTGGTAAAAAGCCGGGATGGGTTGTTTGCAGAAGGCACAGCCTGGCACTGCTTTTTCAAGAGTCAAATGCTGCCGAGGAAAGGCTTTGCTTGGTTTCATTTTACTGACTGACAACAGACTGCTGTACCCTGGGCACTGCTCCAGAGGTCTTGCCTTGGCCTTCTCTAGCAGGGGGACTGGGTCCTCGGCCACCTGAGGCTTCATCGATGCGGGAACTTGGGGAAATAGCAACATCAGAAATCATGGTTTGGCTCAGCATGCCAGCATCATCGTTAAGAATATTAAACCAAGGCTTAAGGAATCAATTACAGGTAGCTTTTCTTAAAAAAATCACTTGAATATTGCTATATTGCTTTTATGGTCCTAAAATTTCTTCAAGCTAAGCATCACAACTCATGCCTGCAACCCTAACTACTCCAGAAGTTGACATCAGGACCACCACAACTCAAGGCCAACTGGGGCAAAAAGTTCCCAAGAAGAGGTTTTTGGCATCACCTAACCAGATGATGACAGATACAAAAACCCTAACAGACAAGAAACAAAGTCCCTCTTTCATTGATTTCCAGGTCAAATATTCTATTCCTCTTTTCTTCCTTTCTCGGGCCCTGGCTTCCTCTCACATACCTCATAACATTTACACAGGGATTTATAGTCTGTTACCTCACTTGATCCTATGAACAAAAAGAAGCACATAGGTTGGGGATTTGCATCTTCATGAAATGCAGAACTGAATCAAGTTCACTTCACAGATAAACTTCACAGGGTCCATCTCCATCTGGTATGAATAAGCATCCTAATTTCAATTCAAATCCTAAGATCTTGGGCTCACTGGCAGTCACCATGCTGCTGGAATTCCACATTATTTGGGAACATTCACCTTGATTCTAAATTATTTCCTCCTAACCAGAAAAGCATGATTTTTACAGAAAACAAGCAATGACAGAAAAGCAGATACAGCTTTTTCTTTCGGCCAATTTTTTGAGCTGATTTATATGTTCCTGCCTTGAAAGTAAAAGAAATCCTGAAAATGGTCCATTGATCTGTTGCCTACCAGATCCATTAGAATAATTAGATTCAGAGCAAAATAAGTTCTATGATGAATGGGAACACATGAGTCATTGATGGAAAACATTATTACACCACTGCCACCATAGAGAAGAAAATACTTTCTCAATGGAAGCTTTCTTGGTTTTGTAAGAACTTCAACTGTTACATGTAGTGTTTCGTGCTGGTGTATTCCCGTTTTATTGCAAGAAGAGTGGTACTGTACAGCCGTAATTCCAATGCTTGGGAGTTTGAACTTCAAAATGAGACCCTATATCAAAATACAAAAGTACCAAGCAGGGTGCCAGTGGCTCGTGCCTATAATCCTAACTACACAGGAGGCTGAGATCTGAGAATTGCAGTTTGAAGCCAGCCCAGGCAAAGTCCCTGTGAGACTCTCATGTCCAATTAACCACTAGAAAACCGAAGTAGTACTGTGGCTCAAGTGGTAGAGTGCTAGCCTTGAAAACAAAGAGGCTCAGGGACAACGCCCAGGCTCCGAGTTCAAGCCCCACAACCAAAAATAAAAACCCAAAAAACAAACCCATCAGCAATGTAAAATTTGTGGAGGCAAATTCTTAAGTCCCTTCCACCCACAATTTTTGTGCGGTCGAAGCTAAATGTTCCAAATGAAAAAAGTAGTGTATATTTCCAAGTACAGGGACCTGGGACAGATTGTACACATGTGCTGTAATACAGCTGCATCCGAAATCTGGTTGAAAACTAAAGATAACTATAGTAAGCATATTGCCAGACACACTTCCTTCTTACATGTAAAGCTTATTGGCTCTGGTTGGTTTTACAAGTGGTGAAAGGTGAGTTTATAATCCAACAATTCTTTGAAAGATGTATGAAATACATCCATAGGTCTACATGGTGTAAATGAAGCTACCACTGCTGCATTCATCACAAGAATTCACAAGAATTGTGGTTCCTGCCAAGTTTCAGCATGCCAATTTCCCATCCCTTCCCTTTAAAAACTATGTATGTGCCTAGCACCAAAGCTTTATGCCCATAACCCGTCACTCAAGAGGCTGCTCTAAGGCAGCCTGGGCAGAAAAGTCCAGGAGACTATTTCCAAAATAACCAGCAAAAAGCAAAGCTAGAGACCTGGCTCAAGCAAACTATACTCCTCATGCTGCTTGTCAGCTCTTGCACTTATCCACGATTCATCAGACAGGTCTATCTGCTTCCTATTATGACCAGTGGTGTATTACAATTTGTTCTTCAGGAACTTATTACCTAAGCAATCAAAACATAAAAGCACAGCTTGCTATACTAATCATGAAATGTTCTATAAAGCCATCAATGAGAAATTTCTGGCTTATAATTCAACTATCTTCACCTTAAGTAATAGCTACAGAATAGTTAGCTACAGAAATGCTTCCAGGGCTGGGAAGGTGGCTCAGTGGTAAAGCGCTTGCCTTGCATGTATGAGGCCCTGGGTTCGATTCCTCGGCACCACATAAGCAGAAAAAAAAAAAAAAGCCAGAAGCGGTGCTGTGGTTCAAGTTGTAGAGCGCTAGCCTTGAGCTGAAGAGCTGAAGGACAGCGCCCAGGTCCAGAGTTCAGGCCCATGACCGGAACACCCCCCCCCCCGAAAAAAAAGAAAGAAATGCTTCCAAAATCAAGTCTAGCACTGCAGTCTCAAATGAATCCTCAGTTAACTAGAATGTTATGTACCACCTGATGGTTGAGCGAAGAACAGCAATTCCATTCTAGTGGAAGCTGGGGAGTGTTGTGCCCACCTGCAATTCCAGCATTTGGGAGTCCCAAGGCAGAGGATCACGAGACCTTGTTTCAAAAAAGAAGAAGAAGAAGAAAAAAAGGGTTCTAGCTGGGCTCTGGTGGCTCACACCTGTAATCTTAAGTACTCAGGAGGCTGAGATCTGAGAATTGCAGTTCAAAGCCAGCCTGGGTAAGAAAGTCTGTGAGACTCATTTCCAATTAAACCAAGAAAATCAGAAGTGGCAATGTGTCTCAAAGTGATAGCATGCTAGACTTGAGCAAAGGAGCTCAGACAGTGTCTAGGCCCTGGAGTTCATGATCAACAACAAAAAAAGTTCTAATGGAACTAAAAAACTGCTACTACCTCATGACACCTTGTACAGTTCAGGGTGGAGATCTGGTGGAAAACTAACTGTGCCATCTGTCATATGTGCGTATTTTACAATAAACACTTTAAGTTTCTGCTGACAGCCTCGTGACTGACCTGGACCCTCCAGGTTTATGTAAGTGCACCTGGAGGCTCACAGGAGGGTGCCACTTCTCATAACGTATCTCTGCCTTCAGAGATGTTCAACTACATACTGTTATGGCAATTCTAAGGCTTTATCTACAAAAAAAAAAGAGGGGGGGTAAGAGTTAAAAAATAATGACAACAGTAAATATTTAAGAGATTTATTAAAGCATCTTATCACAAAAATGGAAACATACAAATTAAAAACATGCAACCACTATCTCCTAGGTCAAAGTGTTATTTTTCCTACTTCTATAGCTGTAACTTCAGATCTTATACCCAACTCACTCATCCTGAACACTGAACTCACTCCTGGAATTACCCAGGGTGGAAAATAACCAAAACACAAACCATTCTATAAAGAAAGTGCGAAATTTATAAAAAGAATCTATGTGTAGAATGCCTCCCCCCCCCCATTAAAGGCGTACAATGGCACTTTGCTCCTGCTTAACCTAGATTGTCTTCAGAAAGTATTAAAATGTAATAGATTTAACAAAAAACAAAGACTTTTAATAAATGTCCAAAAGCTCCTTAGTGTTTGAAAATAAAATGCTGAAACAAAAAGACAATGTATTTCATATCAAACATGTATTGCAGCATTCTGTAAAATAAACAAGACAAGAAGCTGGTATAGGGTTTATTGATAAAGGCAGAACATCCTCAGGCAGGTAAGTAAGGAGGCGGTGGTTCTTTCTCAGGCATCTTCACAGCCATTTCATAGGTTGGCAAAACATACTAGAAAGAGAAAAATAGTTCCATCAGACTTCATTCTCTTTTAAAATCCTTTCTAGACTAATTCTGCTTTAGAAATGCAGGCAGGAGAATACAAGCCTACAGGGAAGAGCTGAAGGATGTTTAAATACTCTAGAACATTGCATGTGAGATGTCTGACCTAAGGTTGCTAGAGATGGCTGGAAAGCAGGCAGAATTCTCCCTTTAAACTAACCTGGTTGCTAGAATTTCTCAACATGCAGTACCTACTCTTCCCAATCCCTCATTCCAGTGAGTGTCAATCACACCACAGCAGTCGAATGCCGGTACGGGAGGGAGTGCATGTGTAAGCATGTGTGTTAAGGCACTCAACGGAATCGCTACATAAGAAGCCACAAAGAGGTGACTAGACCCCGAGTTTAATCATAAGCCAGTTGTAGTCAGAGGACATGAACAGTTATAGCTTCTAGGTTAATGGACATACTTTTGTAAGGTAGTGCATTCTAACCTAGGAAATTCCAAGTGTGACAAGGTGACCCTACATAAACCACATATATTCTATGTGCTCAAAACTTGAGGAGACAGGAGAGGTAGGCCTTTCTACCTCTAACCGACTCAGAGTCCTCTTCTCCAAGATGAATCAGCTCACCCTTTGGTGAATACAGATGTTATTTGAAAGCAATACCAGTTTCAGTCAATGCTACCCTGCCATCTTTAGAATCCTAGAAGCTATATGAGCCTAACACAATTATTTCCTATCTTATTCCCCACACACTCCAACACAGCACCCAGCACTTGTGGGGAGCATGAATGAAGACATCTAACAGCCAAGTTGGGTGCACTAGTACAGAGACTGTCTAGCCCTGAGTACCCAAGATTCCCATCGTAAAATACCGAATGCTGGTGACTGAAGCTACTCAGGCCCCAAACCATAGTTATGGCCCAGAACAGAAGATCAAACCACATTCTTCTTTTAGATCAACAATGGCCAGCAACATTTCCATGTAGTAAACGGTGGTTAACCTGTGGAGGTGCTTCAAAGGCAGGATATACAGCAATCTCCGGCACATTTCTGTTGTTGATATATTTATAGCAATTCCAAACACAGTTGATCAGATAAGCCTGAAATGGTAAAGACAAACTTCAACCACCTGCTCTAAGATGCAGACAGATTTCCAACACTTCCCCACATATTTTCTGTGGAGAAAGGACCTGATACTTGGGACCTAACAAAGGTCAGAACCTTTCCCTACTGGCTCTCATTTAAATGTCAAGTTTTCCAAAGAAGAAAAGTTGATGCTTCAATCAGTCTGTCTACTAGTATGCCACAGAGGAAATTCTGGGGTTCTGAATGTAGGGAATGGTAGCAGATTTGCAACACAAATCATGAACTATTTTTGAAATCATAAGCAAGTTCTTTATACTTAGGAAAGATCTTGACACTTCCTACTCCCTGGAAACAATAGACCCCTGGAAGTAACACTTCCACTGACCCCCACCTCCAACTGATACTCCATCCACTGTGCCGAGGAGTGGGGAAGGCCATGACTAAGTATTGTTTTACCAGTGCCTCTAAAGTTTAGTACACAACTTACCTTAAAAATGATAAACACCACAAAGAATGCCAGAACAATGAACAGAAGGCAGCTGGAGTCCAATGCCAGGAGGTCGTCTTTGTAGGGAAAATCAGGCTGTTGTTAAAAATAAAAGCTGTTACACTTTGTGAAAACATAGACAGCATTTCAAGAATACAAATACAAGACTCTGGAAGTCTGAAGTGCTTTGTACAACTATTTGAGGAGAATAACACAAGGGAAATAAAAAATTCATAAAAATTCCTAAGCTGTTCATAACAGGATTTAACTCTGTACTTTTAAGCTACATTATCTGAAGCCCATAAACACTTAAAATATACTTGTTTAAATATCTAGAATACTCCAATAAAGTCCAAATCGAGCTAGTTTTCTCTTTATTTTTTCACTATTTCGTATCTTTTGGAGGTTGACAGAACACAGTCTCCCATGTGGGATTACAGATTTGTTCCTGATCAGTAAATAAGAAGGTGCTGAGAGCTACCTAATTTCCATGTGCAATGGAGTCCCACATAAAATTTTTTTTTTCTAAAAAGTTACTGTTGTCTCAACTCTCCATCACATGGGCAAAAATGCAGGATTTTACTGGTTAAAAACCCAAGCAAGATTATATGCTTCGCTGAAGACACTAAGAAGGACTGACTGCATTCATTTAAACCCTTATTCCGTTCTGACTCTGGGCAACACATCAGGACTTACTGCTGGCTGCAGAAGCACATTCTAGTCTCACAGGGGACAAGAAGACAGGGCTATTCCTATAAAAGCAACTTCACTTTGATACTCTTTTCTATAAAGCATGTTTTTTTTTGGGGGGGGTGAGGGGAATGGAATGATTACTAGGCTTTGAACTCATTCTCCAGCTTTTTTGGCTTGGTTGCTGATGGTGCTCTACCACTTGAGCCAATGCTTCTACAAAGTTCTTCTGTTTAAAGCATGTGTCTGTGTTCAGTGGAAATGTCAACACAAAGACTCCAGTAATAACATTTTCATATACTGAGTACAAGCCACACGAGAATTTCTATGCTGAGGACTTTTTTCAGAAGGTGGGAAGGCACAACTAGGGATGCTATAGCCGGAGATGACAACGTTTACATAGCTTGTGACCACAGATGACAGGCAACAAACCCAGGCCCCCACTACCAGAACCCCTCCCAGGCCAGCCTCAGCCCATCTCACACCTTCGCCACTTCTTCACATCCTCACCCTCTGGCTGCCAGGCACCAGAGCCTGCCCTCAGCTCCGACTTTCCCCCACCCCTGCCCATTCCTCCTCTGCCTCGCCTCTAGGACTCACATTTCTCTAGAGCCTTTTCTTCAGCACTTTCTTGCCTGATTCTTCTTAAAGCCCCAACGAAATGTTAAATCTCACTTCCCAGCTCAGGCCTCATATCCAAGTGACATTCACTCACAGAGCTGCCTAGTATAGTAACTTAATGGTTAATTTTCTTACTTTTTCACTAGACAGTAAGCTCCAATGAAGTTTCCCTAAAATCTAGCTGAGTGTCCTGCACATAAGAAGCAACGAAAATTCTGGATGAATGAAAGATACATTTGGTGATGTGCAAAAATGGACTGGACAGCACACCTGCAAGTGGAGAGAAAAAGTTCTAAAAGCATTTTGGAAACAAACTGAAGAGTACCCTATTTCGGGTGAGAGTGGCTGGAGATGCAACGGTGAAATCCTCCCCCCTCCTCCTGAATAACTAGTGTAAGTTAATGAGTGAGAGGGACCGATAGAGAGGTGTTAGGACATAGCCATGTGCACACAAAGAGAAGATCATCTGAAAGGCAAAGAGAAGCCAGTTTGCCAGTTTTGAGCCTGGACCTCCAGCTTCCACAACTGAGAGGAAGTGAATTCTGGTTATTTGTGACCTCTGTGTAGGACTTTATGACAACCCAAGCAAAGTAATATGCTCATTCTATGTTTTACTTCCCTTCTTACCACGTAGCATTTTTCTAATAAAATTAACAGTTGACTTTAAAAACAAAAATACCCTCTTTTCCAGCATTCATCTATCTCAATGCCATACTTCCCTCCAAAACTCATCCACAAAGCCCCACTTGACCACCTGAGCCCAGTATCCTTTCACTGTGGCTAAGACAGCTCCCCTCTGGTTTTTGCAGACATCATGTATTGAGTCCTCAGATACATGGCTTGCTCCCGGAGAAGAAGGAAGTTATCTTTACCTTGTATCCACAACACGCACAGATGGTGACTAGTACAGAGCTGAATGGACTCTTGGACATTTGCTACAGATTATTATTAGGTAACAGCACACCCATCATTTCATGAGGGCCAAATAAAGGCAAGTGAGTCTATTGTTAGTAAAGTGAAAATCAAAAGTAGAGTTACATTTCTTTGCTGTCCATTTTTAACAAGTTTTAATACCGGAATGTCCACATGGTATGGTAAGAAGATATTCTATTTTCATTTTAAAAGGGTTAGTAGCTACTTTAAAATACTTTAAAAAGCAAATGGGGTAGCTAAGAAATAGTACCTAAGGTTTACCCAGGACTTCAATAAAAATTATTTTATTTAAAATTAAGCTGAAGTTGGGTGCTGGTGGCTCAAGCCTGTAATCTTAGCTACTCAGGCTGAGACCTGAGGACTGCAGCTCAAAGCCAGCCAGGGCAGGAAAACGCACGGAACGCTTATCTTCTATAAACACCAGAAAACAGGAAGTAGAGCTGTGGAACAAAGTGACAGAGCACTAGCCTTGAGTTAAAGAGCTCAGGGAGAGTGCCCAGGTCCTGAGTTCAATCCTACCCACCAACACCCCCACCCTTAAAAAAAGTAAGCTTAATTAGTGCACACACTTACAAGCTGATCCAGGTATTCTTTGATTCTTGGTAAGTAAGTCAGAGAACTGATGGCAACCAGGCAACTGAGAACAAAGTCAAAGAGCCGATAACAAAAGAATGGAATGAGCCACCCCACTTGATACTGTAGAAGAAAATAACACAGTTATTACGTATGATATCACTACCGCACAACAAACTTTAAAAGGTAAAAATAAGACATACTTACAGAAATTGCTCCATATACCAGCATTGAACTGATTATAAACATAAGAACTGAGACGGCAAAAAGAACACAGGCATTATCTAAGAAAGAAACAAAAATCAAATTAAGCTACTCATATAACAACAACAACAAAAATCAAAACTCTTCATGACAAAACAATGTTTTAAAGATAGCTTACAACATTTAAGGTAAATTTCAAAATTGGCCAGAAGGAAATAGAATCCATCTCAGCATTATAAAATAAATCTTGCTGAATGCAGGTGGCTCATGTCTGTAATCCTAGCTACTCAGGAGGCTGAGATATGAGGATCACATATGAAGCCAACCCAAGCAGGAAAGTCCACGAGACTCTTATCTCCAATTAACCACCAGAAAACCGAAGTGGCATAGTGGCTCAAAGTGGTAGAACACTAGCCTTGAGTGAAAAAACTTAGGGACAGCACCGAGGCCCTGAGTCCAAACACCAAGCTGACAAAAATAAACAAATAAATAACAAAATAAATCTTGAAAAATTCATAGAAAGCTTCTATTTGTTAAAACTTTGGTATTAATTCACTGACATTTGTTGTGGATGGCACATGAACCATATATTTTGCTAGGTAAAGCAAATGTGCCCTTCTCTAAGTCCAAGAAAATGAAGATGGCTAAATAGGTAATTACAATACAACATGGCAAGTGCTTCAGCAGAAGGAAAAAAATATTTCAATTGGACAATCAAAAAATAGCAACAAAAAACCTCCAACAACCTACAAAGTTGACATTGAAAGATGGGAAGCATTTAACTAGAAGAAAAATTAAACACAGAAAACCTCAATAAGATACAACCTGAAATGCAAAGTTCTCCATTAATTACCTCTTCCCCATCCCAGTCTCCCCAACATTTAACCTCACCGCTTCCTTCTATTTGGTCTGTTTTCTACTCACAGGTCTATGCTCTTCCTTGTTTCTCAACTCCTCCTTGGTTGTTCCAACTCTGCACTAACCCATGCTTACTAATTTTTTTTTTCCAAAACATTCAAATAATCTCCAACATTACTAAACCACACTTGACTTACTGAGTTTCTTGGCACAATAGTTAGCTCTGTGACTCCGTGACCTGATATATATTCACACCAATGGATAATATATGTATAGCTCACCACTGAGTAGTAGTTAGCATTAAACTCTGTAATAGCTCTCTATTTTTCCTACAGCATGCAGGCTACCTACATGTTATGATTTTTTTTTTTTGGCCAGTCGTGGGGCCTGAACTCTGGACCTGGGCACTGTCCCTCAGCTCTTCAACTCAAGGCTAGCACTCTACCACTTGGGCCACAGCCCCACTTCTGGCTTTTTCTGTTTATGTGGTGCTGAGGAATCAAACCCAGGGCCTTATGCATACAAGGCAAGCACTCTACCACTGAGTTACCTTCCCAGCCCCAAATGTTACAAATTTTAAAGTACTCCCCTGCTACAGGATACAAAACATCACGGACAAGAATTCATATATACATACATATATATACATATATCCGTATACATACATACATATATACAAAGGATATATGTATATATATATGTGTATATATATAATATAAAAACAATATAAAATTAAATAGAATAGGTACCACCAAACTGGAAAGCCAAATTTCTAATTTAAAAGAATCAGCTTTTGGGCTGGGAAGGTGGCTCAGTGGTAGAGTGCTTGCCTTCCATGCATGAGATACTGGTTCGATTCATCAGTACCACATAAACAAACAGAAAAAGCAGGAAGTGGTGATGTGGCTCAAGTGATAGAGTGCTAGCCTTAAGCTGAAGAGCTGAGGGACAGCCGCAAGCCCAGAGTTCATGCCCCAGGACTGACAAAAAAAAAATCAGCTTTTAAGATTTGATTATGGGCCAAGTGCCAATAGCTACTCAGGAGGCTGAGAGCTGAGAATGTAGTTTAAGGTCAGCCTGGAAAATAAAGTCCATGAGACTCTCATCTCCAATTAAATACCAAAAAAAGCCAAAAGTGGAACTGCGACTCAACTGGGAAAGCACTAACCTTGAGCAAAAAGGCAGGGCTTGCCCTAAACTTAAGCACAAGACCTGCATTGAGTGTGTGGACACAAATGCACATCACACAAAAGATTCAATTATGGGGAATGATATGCTTATTTTAGTATGTGAGGTTTTTATTTTGTTTTGGTTTGTTTGGGTTGTTTTTTTTTTTTTTTTTGCCAGTTCTGGGGCTTGAACTCAGGGCCTGGGCACTGTCCCTGAGCTTTTTGCACAAGGCTAGCACTTGAGCCACAGCACCATGTTCTGCTTTTTCTGTGTTTCAGAGGAATTAAACCCAGGGCTTCATGCATGCTAGGCAAGCACTCTACCACTGAGCCATATTTCCAGCCCTATCTGAGTTTTAAATAAATGAAATTCAAGATCTTTTATTAGAACAACGAAAAAAGGGTGGGGAGTTGGTAACTAGAGAAGTGAGAAACTATATGCCTAGAATACTCTATCTCCAATTAACCAGCAAAATGCCATGCTAAAGGTATTACTCAAATGGTAGAGTCCCAGCTGTTGAGCAAGAAAGACAAACCAGAAATGAGACCTTAAGTGGGACTAGTGGGGAGTAAGTATAAAAGTGTGTGGGGGTATGTGTGTATGTATGTATAGCCTCATTATAGCCTTGAGCTCAAACCCCAGTACCACTAAATAATTAATTCACTCTTCTCTACATCTCAGTTTTAGGAAAACCACACATGACTAAGACTTTCTGGCATTAACCAATTAATTAAAATTGTACAGTGTACAGTTAAAAATGTGCAACCAAAAAGTAGCTCGAGCCCAGTTGTGGCTCAATCCTATAAGCCTACCTACCTCAGGAGGCTGCAATCCAAGGATTGTCATTCGAAGCTAGCCTAGGCAATAAAGTCCATGAAATTCTTATCTCTAATTAACTACCAAATTGCTGGAAATGACACTGTAGTTCAAAGTGGTAGAGCATTCACTAACCTTGAGCACAAAAGCTCAGGACCAAGGACCAGGGCATGTGCATGCATACACACACAAGTTGCCCGGCATGATAGCACATGCTTACAATTGCAGCACTCAGGAGGCTGAAAAGTCAGGCATGGTATTACATGCCTATCATCTCAGCTATGCAGGAAGTGAAAACAGGAACACTGAAGCCCAGTGCTGGCCTAGACAAGGTCCCAAGTTCAAATTCTCGAAGTATTAAAAAAGAAAACATCCCAATCGTGGGAACTATATTAGTTGTTTCATGTTGAACATGTGGTGACATATGATAAGCTAAAAATTCATCTCCGTGCCTGAAAAATGAAGTTAGCCCTGCAGATCATAAATTATTAGATCGACAACCAAATAAAAAGACACAAACCATGAATGGGTCACAAATAATAAAGTTCATAATAAAAACTAATGAAAAGCCAGGTACTGGTGGCTCACTCCTGTAAACCTAGCTACTCAGGAAGCTGAGATCTGAGGATCCCAATTCAAGCCAGCCCAGGCAGAAAAGTCCATGAGACTCTTATCTCCAATTAACCACCAGAAAACCAAAGTGGCTCTGTGGCTCAAAGCTGTAGAGTGTTAGCTTTGGGCAAAAGAATTCAGGGGCAGTGCCCAAACCCCAGCCCCATGACTGACAATTAAATAAGTAGGTAGGTAAATAAATAAATAATAAATAAATAGAAGCATGCTAATAAAGTCCAAAATCCTGAGACTTAAAATCCTACATATACAGAGAGAGAGAGAGAGAGAACAAGGAACATTTTTCTGATGTGAAACTAAAAAATTAAATGTGCAGAACTTGTCTGCATGGTAATGTCTGAGGTCTAATTTCCTGTTTATTATATTCCATAACTTGAATTCTGTAACAGTCACTAGTATTTTTTGTGCCTGTATTTTAAAGAAAGGTAAATAGCAATTAAAAATTACTGCATGTAATTACTGCTACTTTCTATCCCAGTGTCATCTCTCCATACAAACAGAACTATATACAGAATTTGACCCTGAATGAGAGATCTCATCAAATACATAAACATTCTGTATTTTCTACTTGACTCCATGGGGAAATCTCCCATCCTAAATAAACTTGCCAGCTAGCCCTCAAAGTCTTATATTACAATCATTTTATCTCCCCCTTACTGTGCTCTCAAGTCAAGGCACATAATTATACATTCCACAAGAATCTAGTAGTCTATTAAATCCTGTGGCTAGAAATGGCCTACTGTAATTTTAATTGTATGCCTTTGAAAAAAATCACTCATATACTTTCCTGTTTCAACAAGTAGTTTAAATAATCTAATGTTAATCTTATTATTCAATTTACTTATTTAACCTTTTGAAGTATAATGTCAGCATATCAATACTTTGCCAACTAAGTATATTTCTAAATTATATTGGTAAAACCAGTGGGGATTTTTTTTCCAACTTAAAACTTACCAGCCATTCGCTCAGATGAATAGTAATTACCGATGACTTCATACTGAATGTTGACAGCTGGCATGGAGTTGGGATGAGTCACCTCCACAGTCAGCAAAATTGCCATCAACAGGTTTACCACCTGTGAAGAGTAACATCAATTACATTTTATTGATTACAATCAGGAAACAGCCTTCAGAAAACCTCTAGATGGTCCCATATTTAAAGTGTTTTACTTAAAAAGTAATAAGGACAATCTGAGATTAGTTTAAAAGGGCATAGAAGAATCACCAGTGGCTAGCTATTCTAGAGACTGAGATCTGGGAATCATGGACCAAAGCTAGCCCAGGCAGAAAAAACCACGAGACTCTCATCTCCAGTTAACCAACAAAAAGCCTGAAGTGAAGCTCTGATGTTCAGAGGCATATATTTACTCACATACACAATCTCAGAATCTGTGTTTCATATAGCTAATACATTTATCCTGAAGCCTGACACATCATCTCCACCTCCCCCGCCAAAGCTAGACTTAAAAGCTTAAAAGAAACTTTTGACTAGGTCACTTAACTTTCACTACTGGTCTTAAATGTGCTCCTTAAGTGCTTCTCTAATACCTTAAGGCAGCTTCTAAATACTGTCTTGTCTAGAATAAACAACTCAGATCCTTAACTCACTCTTCTATCTGTGCAATGTTTTCCAGCTGACTCACCATTTCCCTATTGCATTCCCCCTTACATAAGCTCCAAAACGATAGATACAAGATGAACTAAGATCAGCATAGTCCAAAACAACAGGGATTTGAGTTTACCCATTCTAGAATGCAAATTTCAATTAACACAATTTAAACTGTATTGACATATTTTTAATGTACTGATGTACATTCTTTTGAGTGTTAAATGAACATTAATTTCCTAAAAAATGTGTATGTACACACACAAGTACTGGTATGGACTGAGAGCCTAGCTATTCTTGTTTGGCTTTTTTGTTCAAGGTGGTCCCCTATCACTTGAGCCACACCTTCACTTCGGGCTTTTTGCTAGTTAACCAGAGTTAAGTCTGCCTGGGCTGGCTTCAAGCTGGAATTCGCGGATCTCAGCCTCCTGAGTAGCTAGGATTACAGGTATGAGTCAGCAGCACCCAGCAGCAGTCTTTTTAAATACTAAAAAAGGTGCTAAACTACCATCTGTAACCAGAACACAATTTGATTGAGAGGCCCCAAGCATAGCCCTCAATGCATTTGTGATCAAATTTCATCTTCTTGCCCATCAAGATTTTCCAGATCTGAGGGTTCTAGGTGTGTCTCAAGTATAGAGCTAAAAAAAAAAAATGTGGGCTGGGAAGGTGGCTCAGTGGTAGAGCGCTTGCCTTGCATGCATGAGGCCCTGGGTTCGATTCCTCAGCACCACATAAGCAAACAGAAAAAAGCTGGAAGTGACACCGTGGCTCAAGTGGTAGAGCGCTGGCCTTGAAGAGCTGAAGAGCTGAGGGACAGCGCCCAGGCCCAGAGTTCAGGCCCCACGACCCGACCCACAAAAAAAAAAAAAAATGTGTCTAGATCTGGATTCTGATATTCTATAGGTTGATTCACTCAGCTTTCTGCAAGTAAAAATGTGATCAGCATGTAATAATTTAGTATTATCATCTATAACCTAATAATTAGTATTATCTCCTAAAGAGCTGAAGAAGACAAAGTTGCCTCCTCCCCATTTTTAGCAAAATCTATTATTTTATCTACTTTAAACATTTTGTTGAAATCCATTTGGTGAATCTTCCTGTAAATCCCATCTTAAGATTAATTATGCCAACAATAGTTAGTGAAACCCTGTGGCATCCCAGGAGGCACCATCATTTTTACATGCTGAGAAACAGTTTTCTTAATGATTAATGATTCAAAACAGGAATCCCACCTAGAGGCTAGAAATATGGCTTAGTGGTAGAGTGCTTGCCTAGCATGCATGAAGCCCTAGGTTCGATTCCTCAGTACCATATAAGCAGAAAGGGCTAGGAAGTTGGCTTATTGGTAGAGTGCTTAGCCTTGCATGCATGAGGCCCTGGGTTCGATTCCTCAGCACCACATAAGCAGAAAAAGCTGGAAGTGGGGCTGTGGCTCAAGTGGTAGAGCACTAGCCTTGAGCTGTTGAGCTGAGGGACATAGTCAAGGCCAGAGTTCAGCTCCCATGACAAAAAAAAAAGAACTCCAACCATATAAACAGAAAGCTGGAAGTGGTGCTGTAGCTCAAGTGGTAGGGTGAGCTCAAGTGGTAGCCCTGAGCAAAAGAAGCTCAGGGACAGTGCCCAGGCCCTGAGTGCAAGCTCCAGAATGGGAAAGAAAAAACAAACAAACCAACTTCACCTAGGACTAGAGTTTAGCATTGCCTTACTAAAGTCCACAAAATCTCCCTCCTCCTGCACATTAGATACGCTGAACAGTTACAAGAACAGTATCAGCAGTATTTCCAATAAACCCTATTATATAATTCTTTCCCATGTCCACCCTGAATGACATTTCACAAATGTTCTATAAGCAAGCAGGCCAAGTTCCATCTTTAGGTTAAATGACAGTGTCTGTCCAATGGATATCAGCTTGAAATCAATTCAGCAAACTCCTTTGCTAAACTTTATAAACCAAAAGTGTCACCGTTAAAAGGCTTTTTTTTTTTTGCACAATACAGACTTTTTTTTGGTGGTCCTGTACAGTTTCAACTGGGCCTCACACTTACTAGACAGGCATTCTACCCGCAGAAAAATATTCAAGCATACAAACCAAATTACTAAATGAAGAAAATGATGCCAAACTGTAGGAGCTTTAAATATAAAAACATTCTCAGCAAACATAGAACAAACACAGATACAAATTCATCCACAACTATTAGCAACACTTTATTGTGTGTTCTGATTTTTATAAGTATAAAAAAAATCGACATCCTCACAAGCATGTCTGGGTTTTTTTGGTCATATGTGTGTGTGTGTGTGTGTGTGTGTATAATATACATATTATATATATTACACATATTATATATATATATATAGCCATTCTAACTGGAGTGATATTTCACTTTTTGATTTCACATTTTTGTATGTGTTTTTGTACTGAGTTCCTCATATATTCTAAACATTAATCCTAAGTCACATAGTTTGCAAGTATATTCTCCCATTCTGTGCTTGATTTCACTCTGTTGAAGCGTCTTAGTTTGAAATAACCATTTGTCTTTTTCTTTTGTTGCCCATGTCTATATTATTGCCCACAAAAATCCTTGCACAAACCAATGCCAGAATGCTTTTTCCTGTATTGTCATCTAGTAGTCTTGTTGTTTCTGGTTTTACATATATCTTTAATCTATTTTAAGTTGGTTCTTTTATATGTTGACAGAAAAGAGACTTAGTGTCATTTTTCTACATGCAATTATCTACTTTTCCTACCACCATTTGCTGAATAGAGTATGCTTGCCCAAAACTGTACTCAGGGGCACTTCTGTTAAAAATCATTTGGCTGTGTATGGGTATATTTCTAGGTTCTCTATGCTGTCCCATTGGTCTATGTACCTTTTTACCTTTTTCTTTTTTTTGTACCAGTCCTCGGGCTTGAGCTCAGGGCTTGGGAACTACCTCTAAGTTTCTTTTGCTTAAGGTCTACTACTTGAACCACAACTTGTTTGGATAGTTTATTGGAGATAAGTGTTTCATGAACTTTTCTGCCTGGGCTATCTTGGAACTGTGATCCTCAGATCTGACTCCTGAGTAGCTAGGATTACAGTCATGACCCCGGTATTATGCGTCTATTTTTATATCAGTACTATGCCTTTTTGGTTGCTATACTTTTGTAGTATATTTCAAAGCTGAGTGTTGTTTTTCTTCTTTTGCTTAAGATTACTTTGGCTGGTTGTAGTCTTGCTCCATTCAAATTTCAGGATTTTTCCCCCTATTTCAGTGAAGGATGACACTGGTATAACAGAAATTACATTGCTACATCACTTTAAGTAGCACAGCCATCTTAACATTTTAATTCTAAGACTTTTATGAGTAAAAACAAATTTCCATTTACTTGTTTTTTTCAATTTCTTTCATTAATTAATGGTTCAGTTTTCACTGTAGAGGTTCCTGATTAGATTTACTCCCAGATTTTATTTTACAGTAATTATAAATGGTGTTGCTTTCCTATTTTCTTTTCCAGGTATTTACTTTTCAGTTAGCAATATATAATAAAAATGCTAGTAACTTCTGTTAACTTAGTTTCATATCCTGAAGTCTTCTACTCAATTTATTCATTCTAAGAGTTTCCCTGGAAGTCTTTAGGGCTTTTTATGTATTTGACTGTGTCATCTGCAAATAAGGATCTCTTGACTTCCTTTCTGGTCTGGGAGGGCTCTTCATCTATTCATCTTGCTCCAATGCTCTGTAGCATTCCAGTACTCATGGAATAGAAGTGTGAAAACCACACTGGGTTCCTGATCTTAAAGGAAAAGTTATCCAGTATGTATACTATTAGCTGTGGGTTTGGCATAGATAGCTGTTACTGTGTTGGGTATTTTTCTCCAAACATGTAATTTATTAAGCAATTTTTATGTGAAAGGAGATTAAAATTCATGTTTTTTTCTGCATCTACTAAGGTGGTCATACAGGTTTTGTTCCTAATTCTGGTGATATTCATTTGCATGTTTCATCTGTAGGATGAATCCTATTTGATCATGATGAATTATCTGTTTTGAATGTACTGTTGAATTCAGTTTGCTAGTGTTTTCTCCTTTTGGTGCTGATCCTGGGACTTGAACTCAAGGCCTGGCACTGTCCCCGAGCTTTGTTGCTAAAAGCTAGAACTCTATCATTTGAGCCACAGCTCTACTTCCAGATTTTTTGGTGCTTAATTGCAACTACAGTGTCCGGATTTTCTTGCCCAGGCTGGCTTCAAACCATGCAGATCTCAGCCTCCTGACTAGTTAGGATTACAGACATGAGCCACCAGTGCCTAGAATTTTGCATCTACATTCACCAGGGATATCGGCCAATAATTTGTCTGTCACCAGACAAGAATCAAGGTGATACTGATCTCCACTTCAACTTGTTGAAGTAATTTGAAAAGACTTGATATTAGCTGTTCTTTAAATGTTTTGGAGAATTCACGCAGGCTTTGTTGAGAAACTATTA